CATAGTTGTTTCAAAAAAAAAAAAAAAAAAAAAAAGGGAGCATATATAGTGATGTTATTGTATATAATGTTATGAATGGTAAATATAACTAAAATAATCATGTTTTAATATGACATTTGTATGGTAATTGCCATTGATAGAAAATCTCCTTTGTAGGACACGAAAAAAGTGATAAATTATTGATTAGGTAAAACAAGAAATTCGGTGTTTAATTTCATGATTCGCTTTTGAAGGGTGATACCAATATTTTTTTCTGACGAGAAGATAGCTTGAAATGGTAGAGAATATCTAAACTTCGAAAAACAAATGGCAGAGAATATACTTTGGACAGCACCAAAATCATTTCCTAAAGATTTTGTTTTTCGTAAAAGATCCTTTTTCTCTTGATTATATTTAATCAGTTGCAAGAAAAATGCTATAGAAAATATATGCTTCTCTTTCAATATACCAAAACCAAAAATCAAATTCATAACTTTCTAGCATACAGCTCCAAGGTATATACTCGTTTGATTATTTGTGCATTAAAAATCTAGGTGGGACATGTTATTGTTGTTTTAATAATCACCGCCTTATGCTTTTTCTCTTAAATGAATTAATTGGTCGCATGGTCAATTGATTTTTTATAAACAAAATGATTCACGCCTTTGTTACGTAAACCAATAATATCACCATTGACCAACAAGTCTAAATGACTTTGTACGCAATTCTCCACTCCATTATTTACTTTTAAACCTGTAGGCTATAGCATGTTTATATTTATAAATTAAATTATCAAAATCTGATGTTGATATGTTTCACTGTATACTAAATATTCTTTTCTAAACATATATCTAGAAAATTCTCCACGTTAAATAATTTTTTTTTGTAAAACTCAAAAGATCAAAAATTTTTATTATGAAGGAACTTTCTTAGTTTACAAAAAGAAAAGAATTTCCGTATGAGGTTAAACTAGTTATGAAAGAGGAAGACGGTGTGCTGGGTGTGTAGCCGAAGATGCTGTCGGCGGTTTGCAACGTTGGATGCTTCTCGGTTCGGACGGTGATGAGCGTGGCTGCGGTTGTACTGCAACGGGAGTGTAAACTTTGTTATTTACTACTGCATCGTGCGATGGCACCCAAATGCCTTCCACAACTATTAACTGTGGATTTTCGCTGCCGTTAGTCACTGTCGGAGTAGCTGGTCTTCTTGTGTGCAGTCTATACTTCTGAAAAAAACAAAGGATTCCATACCATTTTTAGTGAGAATTGAGATTGATAATGTTCTTTTTTTAATCTTAAATTAAGATTGATAAACCATTCAGAAGCAAAACTATTATAGTAAAACATATATACAATGATTATGATGTACCTGTAAATGACTTTTAACTTCGTCATTGGTTAGACCATCGACTTGCATGAGATCTCTAATCTGCTTAGGCGTAGCAACTACATATTTTTGGCAAAACATATATTAAAATTAAAATTAACAACCGATGGCTTACTTAAATATTAGTATGAAATATTAATCTTAATTACCATGTGATCCTCCGAGCTGCTGAAGGGCGTTTAGGAATCTCCGGTGTAATTCTTGCGACCAGCAACGTCTTTGCTTCCGATGCATTTGTAATTGTTTCTGCTTCTCCATCTCCTTTTTATTTCCCCCTGTTTCCGCCGTGGAACTCGACGCCGTAGGCGTTGGAGTGATTGCTTTCAACGGTTGAGACTTCTCTTTTTGAAACGGTTCAAACGCACCGCAGTTTCCCTTCACCTCCACCACCACCTTTGTTGTCTGATCCTATTGTCCATTATTACACATCAGATTTCATGGTTCTTGAAAAAAAGCTTTAAACTACTAAATGATTTGATTAATTTTTTTACCTCTTTGAGCTGAGGATCCGGAGACTGGTTCCATAACTGAAGCCATTCAGATTTCTTCTTATCAACGTTATTTTCAGCTTCATCTTCTTTGATACGTTCACAAGATTCGTGTTCATCAGACTTGATCGGCATAAACTCCTCATACAAGGCAGTGCAACCGTCTTCACTTGTCGTCCGCTCAGAACCTTCTGATTGAATGTGTTCTGAACTGGAAATTTCAGACAACTCCTTCCGGTACGAGTCGATAGCTTTTTTAAGTAAACAAAAAAAAAACAATTAATAAACCTCTGAGAAAATAATAGAAGATCTGAATGGAGTATTATTACCTTGTGTAACGAGCAACAAACACAAGGGAAGCTCTTTCTTAAAAACTTGGATCTTCTTTTGTTCTTCTTCTAGTGATTCTATGTACTCTTGACATCTCTGTATTTTCAAAGTATATTCCATGTTGTCTCCGTTCTTAGCCATAGTCATACAAACAACTTCGATTATCAAACCAGTTAGGATTAGAGACCATAAATCAAAGAGAGGAAAAAAAGAAAAGAGATCTGAAAGAGAAGAGTCTTTGAATATAAATATAGGGAGAATGGGGAAAATAATAAACTTGACGTTCAAGTTGGAAATTTTAAGAGGAGAGATAATATAATCGAGGTCAAGCCGTCGCGTACCTAAACGGAATCTTTTCTATTTTTAAAGCGTTTTTTTTTCCATCGGTTTTATAAGATAAAATAATAAAATGGTAAATATGTGAAGATGATGGGTTGTATATAGAAAAGAATATTCGGGTATTATGGGGATTCACTCCTGTCACCAGTGACGTTTGTATTCTTTGTGACGTTGAGATAAGAACGACGACTCATTAGTCATTCATCACTTTTTATTTTGAATAAATCTCTCACCATTTAATAGTAGAAGAAAAAGTAGAATATACTGATTCTGTAACGTTGGCCATATTGTGTTTCACACACAAACTGGTGAGATCAGTTTTCCAGTTTTGTTTTAAATTTATTTATAAAAAAATCTATAATTTATTTTACAGAAAGTTTTTAAAGCAACTACTACGTACTATATAATATAATCTTAAGTTAAAAAAAAAACTATATACTATAGTAGTAGTTAGTCCTCAAATATGCTAAAACATTGCATGGGGACCACTGAAAAGTAAATTAAGCAAAAATATACAGAATTAGATGTATCTTTACAGGATTTATTACAAGAGATATTTATTAACAATAGTTTACATTTTCAAATGCGGAGAAAATAACACAGCAAAAGACTAATTTGTCTTATTTTCGTATAAGGGTGGAGGAATATTCTATGCGAGTAGGGAGGAAGAAAGTAGAAACGCACCAAAATAGGGAAGAGAGAATCTTCTTGGAAGCTGCGTTTCCTCCTCAACTTTTGTTTTATTCTCTTAAGAACGAGGACTTTTCACGCTATCGAAGAGCCACATACACACAGGACACAGCTTACATCAAAGCGCGTGCATTCAACACAATGAATCCATCATCATGGGAGTTATCCAATTAACTCACTACTAATAACAAAAACATTTGGCCCAACGGCCCATGCCCAAGTTTTCTGGCTCAACTGATCCTATACAATCAAACATATTTAAAAGAAATGGATTGTTATGCTTCTCTTGATCAGTTTCATGGATATATGTTATCTTAGTGGCATGACACTGTTGAGATACTGTAGTAGACTTCTTGATTATACCTGCAAAAGAAGAAAGAGAAAATCAGTAAGAAGAAAAGCGAAGCACAAAAAAACAAATGAAGATGAAGAAATGAGTAGAATAAAAGTGGTTAGCATTAGTTTGGCTAAAAGCTAATCAAGGTTTAGTTGGTAAGTTAAATGGTTGTCAAAAGAGTTGAGAAGACTTGTTGAGATTTGGAGTGTACGATTGATCTGTAGTCTAGGAATCTAAACTAGGAGAAGTTGTGCAAATAAGTCTATGTTCCATCTCGCACTGCACTCTTTCTATATATATATATATCGGTTTGATTCAAAGAAATTTAGTCAGAAGTTATAGAATCGTTTTGTTTCCTCCCAGGATATGGTTGTGTTTAAGCCGCAAAACCCATATTACCAACAACAGCACCAGCACTAGTGCACTACCAACAGCTGCCACATACTGTTAATATTTATTTGGACCGCGTTGTATCAAATACTCACATACTGTTACTTCTATCATTTGGATTTCTCTTCGTATGTATTCACATATAGAATGCCAGATAAATAACCAAAATCACAGAGTACCAAAACTTACTAGATGGCTGCTTCAGCCCAATTTAATATATTTCACGGGAGAGAATATTTCAGGTTTTATCTGTAGACATCTAGTATAAAGATTAAATATCTAATAAACTATAGATAGTAACATTCTTCACCATTATCGTCAGCTTCAGCTCCTCCCTACAAACCTACATTTTTTTTCACAAAATCAGTAGAGTAAGACAGAAGATCATTGTCTAAAATAGGTAACCGATGAGTATAGTAGGATTCAGATTTATACCAGAAAGAAAGGTTTGGGGGAAGCATTAGGTCTCAACAGAATTAAGAAACGATTGGATGCCAAAGATAATGAAAAGCATTCCACCAGAAAGAGCAACCTGACAAAAATCCGAGTTTTAAAGTTTAAGGTGTCTTTCTTTTATCTCAAATGCGAATATGACAAGGAGAGATGTTTACTATTCGTTCGGATATTTGAGACGCTAAGCTCTTTCCTCCAATCACAGCAGCAGTGGTGCACAACAGTTGTGCCCTGTGAAGTAGACACATATTAATCAGCAACATTGCTTTCAAACATAAACGACTGAAGCAGGTTTGCAGTGAAGCTTACACAATACCACCAAGGACCACCCCGAATGGATTTTCATCTGCGGCTAAACCAATTGTAGCAAGCTAGAAAAAAAGAAAGAAAAAAGGAGTTATGATTGAGTATGTGAATCATTTAGACTGCATCCAATCAAGAAAGTGAGAGCTAACCTGACTCTTGTCACCAAATTCACCAAAGAAATTAATTGAAAATGCCTGCAATACCAGAGGGGTAACATGAAACTATTCAGAAAGGTAGCTGCCTTTGATAGCAGATTCTGTAAAGGATCTGTAGTTTACCTTGAGAAAAATTGGAGAGAAGAACTGTGTGAGGAAAGGCCTTTTCTGCTTTTTGTTTTCATCTCCACTCTACAATGAACAATAAATGGTGTCGGTGATAACAATATAGCACATGCAATTCCCACACGCAGGTACTCTTTAGTTACATACCTTACTGTTATCTTTTATAGCTTTACCATTAGCCTTCAAATCAGAATTCTATGACAAAATACACAGAACAAAGTTAAAAGCATGATCTAAAACGTTAGAAGGAGTGTGAAGAAAGACAGAAACAGACCAGTTCTGCTTCAACTTCAGCTAACTCTTCAGATCCCCTGCCAACAAAATAAAATTAGATAACCTAAAGTTTCACTCTCATGACATCAAACTTGATGAAAATATTATTACCCTCCTCCTTGTTTAAAACCGTCCCATAAAGACCACAGCCCAAAACCAAAAAACAACAACGTTGTTATGTGATGTGTCCATTTGCGAGAGATCTGCAAGCAAAGAATGGTGGAGTCACCATACCAGATTAGGAGCAGCCCATCCATCAAACTAAAATCCAAGTTCAAGGAAAAAAGCATTACAAATGTTTTTGTTTTGTTTTTAAAAGACATACCAGATTAGGAGCAGCCCATCCAACAGTAGCAGAGAGGATAGTCATGACCTAATTAAATAGCAAAAAACCATCATATAAGCTTCCCAAAATCTCACTCAAAACCAATAGTCAAAATGAGTCAAGAAAGCTTACAATTAGAGCAGATACACAACCAGCCAACACAAGTCTCCTAGGATAACGCATCGCCAAAATCTGATTTAAGTTAAAAAAAGAAAAAAGAGGAGAGATTAATCTTACAAAAACATGATAAAAATAACCGAAGTATCTTTCTCTCTCAAGGAGACTCTAAACAAACAAAACACAAGTTTTAATTACGAACATGCAAATCCGACAAAATATTTGGTCTTTGACTTTGATCAGAAAAGCCCATTGACTTTATTCAACCTTAAACCACAAAGATGTAACACTTACAGCTGCAGCGAAAAACGTCTTGTCGCCAATCTCCGACACAAAAGTCATGGCTAGTGACTTCGTAAAACCCTAAAAACAAAACACATCACTCGTATACCCCAGATTAGCTCCCACAACGATCCCCAGATGGAAAAAAAAAAGAAACTTTTTTTTACCGTACCTGCAAAACCGAGCTCATTTCTGCTGAGTTAACTCCGAAAGTTTCGATCTTTTTTCCGGTTGGTACAGAGTCAACGGAGAAGAGAGACGACACGCTCTCGTGGAGGAAAAGTTTGTTCAAGTGCAAAAGATGAATTGCTTTTTACGTGTAAAAAAGTAGATTCGGATTCTTTTTACACTTGAGTTCTTGACACGTGGATCGATAATATCCATCGATTTAGTTTGAGTGGGACCTTGGAGAACTCAACTTGACTTTTAGAATAATGCTATTTTGTTCGTTAGGATGAGAGTTTTCTGAGGTGATGTATGGTCGGATCGCGATAAAGACGTCACGTGAGAATATATGTCTTTATCATCAGAACTTGTAAATGTCGAGAGCTGCGTAAACTGATTGGATGATACTTTGATTCGCGAAAGCATGTTGTTTGATTCGATTTAATCCTACTATAACTCGAATTTATCCAATATTGAATTTGATAAATAATTAAATTAGTTGGTGATGTGGCACATATGGAATCCCTTTTCATATTAGTTGAGAAATAACCTTTGAATGTGTACATAAGAGTCTGATAATTCTCAAAATCTTAAAAAAAAAAAAAGATTAGTCCATCTAAATTCTTGACGTTGACATTAGCCAAAGTTGAAACGAGAAAGAAGCCGGCGTGTTCTGCTGCCTTTCTTCAGATATTTGTGTTATCTCTCCTTTTGTCAAAAATTTGGTCCGTTTACAAAGGTTGTGTTCTGAAAACCAGACCACATGGGTGCCTGCTTTGGACGTAACTATCTAAATTAGGTACTGGGCTCCCAGATATCTAGTTTTGATAGACGGATAAAACTGTAGATCCCTAATATTTTACTTACCTCTACTCTAGTGTCTCTAATTTGTTTTGGTTATAGTTATAGATATCGTACTTGAAAAGCAGGTCCTTGTCACATCTTACTGTTATCGTAAGCAAGCTTTTCCTCTTTCTTTTATCAGTTAAATTGTTGCAACTGGATTCTCTCCCCACCATATATATCTCAGCATTGTTTTTAAATCCACTTTCTTACGCACATTGTTTAATAGTAACATTTGGTTTTAATTATGTATTGGTCGGGAGTTGGGTCATAGAATTTGAAATGGATGAGCTGTTAATTACTTGAAAGTCATTAGCAAAAAGCCAAGCTTCATTGGCAAACAGCAGAGCATTACATAAAATAGGAAGGAAGATGAAGAAGTGCTGAGATTCTAAAGATAGATATACTAATTACTAAGCGCCACACTAACCGCATTGAGATCATCAAACAAAGTTTTTATTAATCTCCACACCTAAAGACGATGAAGAAACCTCCTCTTCCCCTTAAACCATTTATATATCTTCTTGTTTCTTCCAAAGATACTTACTCGTTTATAAATCTCCTTGGAATCTGCAAAACATCACAAAACTCACTTTTGTCTCACTTTCTTCCCTTCCCCCACCACAAAACTCACTTTTGTCTTCTCCTCTCTCTCTTCAATAAGTAACATAAGATCTCTCCCTCTTTGTCTATCTAACGGTCGGAAACCAAAAAAAATGTGTTCTCACCATTGCTTCCTTCTCTTCATCTTCTTCCTCGCTTCACATTCTTTAGTTACTTCCAGAACATTGCCAAAGAACTCTGTAACTACTTCAACGATTCTTGATGTCGCCGACTCCATTCGCAAAACCAAAGATACGTCGTCGTTTCATCTCAACCAGCAAGACGAACAGAGTCACTCTCCATCTTCATTCACCTTACAGCTCCATTCACGAGCCTCCATCCGAGGAAACGAACACTCAGACTACAACTCCCTCACGCTAGCTAGACTCGACCGTGACTCAGCCCGAGTCAAATCCCTCATGGCTCGTTTAGATCTAGCCAAAGCAGATCTCAAGCCCGCTATTACCACAACTTCGCAGCAGCAAGACATCGAAGCTCCTCTAATCTCCGGCACAACTCAAGGAAGCGGCGAGTACTTCACACGCGTCGGCATCGGAAACCCGGCGCGTGAAGTCTACATGGTGCTCGACACCGGAAGCGACGTGAACTGGCTACAATGCTCCCCATGCGCCGACTGTTACCACCAGACCGAACCAATCTTCAACCCTTCCTCCTCCTCCTCCTACACCACCCTCTCCTGCGACACTCCTCAGTGCAACTCCCTCGAACTCTCCGAGTGCCGAAACGCCACGTGTCTCTACGAGGTCAACTACGGCGACGGGTCCTACACCGTCGGCGACCTCGCCACCGAGACGCTCACCATCGGCTCCGCCTCCGTCGCCAACGTCGCCGTCGGGTGCGGACACAGCAACAAAGGACTCTTCGTCGGCGCCGCCGGGTTGCTCGGACTCGGCGGCGGCGCGCTCGCTCTCCCGTCGCAGCTCAACGCCACGTCGTTCTCTTACTGCCTCGTCGACCGCGACTCGGACTCGGCGTCCACCGTCGAGTTCGGGTCGGGGATCTCCCCCGACGCCGTCGTGGCGCCGCTGCTGCGTAACCGCCGGGTCGACACGTTTTACTACGTCGGACTCGCCGGGATAAGCGTCGGCGGGGAGATGCTTCGGATCCCTATGTCCTCCTTCGAGGTGGACGAGACGGGAGGCGGAGGGATTATTATCGACTCGGGGACGGCCGTGACTCGTCTCCAGACGGAAGTGTACGACTCGTTGAGAGACGAGTTTGTTAAAGGGACGACGGATTTGGAGAGAGTAGGGGGAGTTGCGATGTTCGACACGTGTTATGATCTCGCGGCTAAGGCGACGATAGAGGTTCCAACGGTGGCTTTTCATTTTCCTGGAGGGAATGTGTTGGCTTTGCCAGCGAAGAATTATATGATTCCGGTTGACTCGGTGGGGACTTTTTGTCTTGCGTTTGCGCCGACCGCGAGTTCGCTTTCGATTATTGGAAACGTGCAGCAGCAAGGGACACGTGTCGGTTTTGATTTGGAGAATTCTCGCATTGGATTCTCGACGAATAAATGCTAAGAGGATTTTAATGTGTTTTTTCTTTCTTGTACTTGTTTGTTGCAGAGAGTTGTGTAATGATTTAAAAAGTCCTAAAAGGTTAGTATAATGTTTTAACTCTGACATTCCATTTGAGATGATGCTTCTGCTCGCCGTACCCACTAATTCGGAAACTTTGTTTTGTTTTTGCTATTACTTAGAAATTAATCTTCCACAGCCTGAGAAATCTCTCATCGTTAAATAATTATATTTTTTCTTTGGAAAAATCGCATAAAAACCTTCAAGATGGCAACCACTTACACTTTAAACTTTAAGAGTATTTTACAAGCACTTTAAACATTCAAGTTGGCAAATTAAGCATATTAAACCTCCAATCTGGATTACTTGTACATTAAGTTAAAAATGTGACCGGTATTGTTCAAAATCGATGATGTGTCGTTTTTTTTTAAAAAAAGAAAAATATTTTACTAAAAAATAAATATAAAAATACAGAAAATATAAAAATCATTAAAAAATCATTAAAAATTGAAAAAAAAAAATCATAAAAAATTCATAAAAATCAGAAAAATCTTAAACATTAAAAAATCACAAAATAATTAAAATATTTTACTAATAAAATATTAAAAATAAGAAAAACTTAAAAGAAATTATAAAAAAATCCCAAAATAAGAAAATTCAAAATTTTTTAAATAAAATAAAAATGAAATTTAAATAAAATTAATAAAAGAATAATAGATAAAAAAGTATATAAATTCAAGAATAAATAATTTTATTTGTTTAATAAAAAAACGAGAAAACACTATATTTTTTAAAAAAGAATCATTACCTTCAAATGATTCTTGTGAACCAAATCAAAGCAAACAAATTAAATTCCAAGTCATTTTATTCTCATTTTGTTGCTTATTAGTCAAGGTTTTCTAGATTTTATAACTAGATTAATATAGGGTATTTTAATAACTTCTAAAAGACTTGGATTTCAACTTGTTTGCTTTGATTTGGTTCATGAGAATCATTTGATGGTACATATCAAATACGATTAATTATACGATGACATATCAAAAACCATAAACATTAAAAAATCACAAAATAATTAAATATTTTATTAAGAAAATATTAAAAATAATAAAAACTTAAAAGAAATTATAAAAAAAATCCCAAAATAAGAAAATTCACAAATAATTGAATGTATATGATATATACCATCAAAAGATTCTTGTGAACCAAATCAAAGGAAACAAGTTAAAACCCAAGTCTTTTAGCAGTTATTAAAATACCCTATATTAATCTAGTTATAAAATCCAGAAAACCTCGACTAATAAGCAACAAAATGAGTACAAAATGACTTGGAATTTAATTTGTTTGCTTTGATTTGGTTCACGAGAATCATTTGAAGATAATGATTCTTTTTTTAAAAAAGTATAGTGTTTTCTCATTTTTTTATAAAACAAATAAAATTATTTATTCTTGAATTTCTATTTATTTTATCTATTATTCTTATTTTAATTTTATTTAAATTTCATTTTTATTTTATTTAAATTTTTTTGAATTTTCTTATTTTGGGATTTTTTTATAATTTCTTTTAAGTTTTTATTATTTTAATATTTTATTAATAAAATATTTTAATTATTTTGTGATTTGTTAATGTTTATGATTTTTCTTATTTTTGTTAATTTTTTATGATTTTTTTCAATTTTTAATGAACTTTTAATGATTTTTAATGATTTTTTATATTTTCTGTATTTTTATATTTATTTTTAGTAAAATATTTTTTAAAAAAAAACCGACACGTCATCGCTTTTGAACAGTACCGGTGACATTTTTTTAACTTGATGTACAAGTAAGCCAGATTGGAGGTTTAATATGCTAAATTTGCCAACTTTAGTGTTTAAAGTGCTTATAAAATATTCTCAGGGTTTAAAGTGTAAGTGGTTGTCACCTTGAAGGTTTTTAATGCGATTTTCCCCTTTTTCTTTGCTCAAAGGTTTCAAATAAATAATTATATTTTCTCCATTTCATAATAGATATGCAATAATTTGTGTTTTCTTTTTGATATTTTTAAATGTAAGTGTTTACATAGAGAAGTGGCGAAGACATGCTGCCATCACAAGGAATGAAGTGGCAGCCATTTGGGTCAATCTTCTTTTCTACTTTATGATGTCAACCTTTTACTTTCTCCTTTCTCCATAAAATGCCCCTTTTTATTACTTTCACAGTTGCATGCTGAATATAGAATTGTATTTTGGGAGGAACTTAACTTTAGGTCTTTAACACGATCATCAGAACTTGGCCTATTACATTGTCAGACTCTGACTCTAAAAGTTTTGGAGTCACAACCTCTGTTTCTGGCAACTAAAGTTTTATTCACTTTGATGGTTTGTAGCCTCTTCAGAAGAGTAAAAGGAGTGGAGTTGGAAACGGATCCATAGTCCATGAGTCCCGTCACTGGCATGATGTGTTCTAGTCAGCCATCTTTGTGATCCACCTGATATGGTTATGATTCGTGCTCGCCGTTCTTGGACTCAATAGGTTTAGAATATCAGATGGGTTGAACATCGATAGATACTCTCAAGGGTTATTGGAAGAATCATAAAGGCCTCACCGAGGACTACTGGCCACTCTATGCTGTTGCTAGTGGGATCGGAGTCTTTATCACTTGGGTCTGATCATTGCTTCTCGGCTCTTAGGTCGACGAGATGATGAAAGTTTCGGTTCTCATCTTAACTACCTTTTTAGCTGTACTTAATGCTATGTTTCTGGTGTGGTACATTCGCTATTGGAGCTCTGTTGCAGTTCTTGTATTTTATTTCAGTTAGGGAGCGATGATTATAGTAACATATTAATCTTACAACTTTCTAATGAAATAAGCACCAACATTAGTCCAAAGTCAGATGTTCAATAGGGTGGTGTATTTTCAGAACACATGTAGTTCTAGTTTTCATTTATTAGCAAAGCTCAGTAAATTAAGATGAACATATTGGTAACAAGGCTTTGAACACAAGAAAATGTAACAAAGGGATGATATCATTTACTAACATATATATAAATGCAGTTCATAGCCAGCAACCAAAATGAGTGTTTTACACAAACAAACCAAAGTAATAGCAGAGAACACAAATCAAAGAAACTTGCATTTGATTGATTATTCAAGATTAAAGATCAATATCACTACTAACACATTTGAAAAGAATAAGGATTACGCCACTGCGACACCGTTAATGGAATGAAGCGCTTGGTTTGCAAAATAACGAACATCAACATCAGGATCCTCACTCAGGTCCACCAAACACTGACGGATTGTTTTGTCCACCACCTAACAAACACAGCCGATAACATTACAGTTCTGCAATCTGCATTACTTTTCCGATATTAACTGAGTAATATTTTAATCTCATTCTTACTGATTGGTCGACTATGGGGATGAGGGATTGCAGAAGTTTTGCAACATTGAACTTGATGTTTGGAACTCTGCAAAGATTAGATATGTTGCAACAGCAACACGTTAGAAAAAAAAAACTAAGATGGTTCATTGAAGGAGTTTGCCAAACTCATCTCTAGCGATATTACCTGTCTTTTGATGCCTCAACCACCACATGAAGGAACTTAGAGCACGTGATTTCTGATCCCATTACAGGAGCCATGAGAGATATTGCACGTAGAGCCATCATCCTGTGTAGGTAGTGCGAATTGTTGACCATGTCTAATACCTGTTTACATTGACAGAAAAACAGGTCAATATGGAGCTTTCTGTATGCAGCTTCAGCGATTAAAAAATAAAATAGACCAAGGACCTAGCTCAGAGCCATAGAAACAAAAAAGGTTTTAGTATGAAATGCCCAAAGAAAACAACCTGAGGAACTAAGTGCTGCATTGCCCATTCAGTACCAAACTCCTCTGCAAGACGCTTTAGGTTGTTTGCTCCAGCTTCACGGATAGAGTATACCTGAAGAAGGAGGAGACCAGGACAACGTTAATTTCCAGAAATTATGCCAACATCAAAGCTTCAATATCAAGGGTTCAAGATAAACCTTGTCTTGTAACCACTGCATGCAAAGAGCTCCAAGCTTGTCATCGAAAAACCCTATACCCAATTGGCTGGCCAACAGAGGAACATACTCAATTATTGCAAGACGGACTCTCCAGTGCCGGTCCTCGGCAAGCTCTACAATCGCAGGCAACAAAGATTGTGATAGCAGATCAATCCCAATAACCTGCCGTAAAAAGATATTCAGTTACCAGTTAAAAACAAAGAAGCTATATAAGTAGATAAATTCAAGACACAAAGAGGGATATGCAGCAAACCTGGTTGACTTGGTCTAGCTTGCTTATGATGTTGAGGCGTACATCAGGGAATTCATCTTTCAAAAGGGAAAGAAAAATTGGTAGCAGATGCTCAATGGTTGATTCCTGTATTGAAGATTTTAGTCTGTTACATTGTCATTGATCAGGTTTGCAAATATCATTTGGTGCAAGTAGAACCAGACCATTATACAAGGTGTAACATACATTGTTGATAAAAACCTTTAGCACAAATAAACACAAATAGCCACAAGAAGTAGATTTCATTTCATACGGTCATACCTTCCCAAGGATAGGAGCCATTCCCATTATTACTGAAGCTAGAGCAGAGCGGACATGTTGAGAAGAATCGCTCGATAATTCCTGCCATAAATGAGTTCGAATCAGACTATAACAAGAAAAGGGTATCACGGCAACCCTGTTTTATATGAGATTAAGGGAAAAAAGTACCTTCACGCAAGGAAGGATGTGCTCAATAGAAAGCTCTGGATTCAAAAGCTGACAGAACTTAGTCACTTTTCCCGCTGCTGCTATTCGCACTTCAGCCTCATTGTCCCGTAGCAGTCTCACATATGCTGGAACCAAATCCGTCCTAAAGCAACAAAATATTCAGTGTCAAAATAATAAGATAAATGTTCAAACGCAAAGAAGCAAAGATAACAAAAAAAAAGCTGTGTCAGAAGGCACATACTTCGTGGGATCAGGACCGACTGCCTCACAAAGTTCATATAGCTGATTAGCAACCATGTAACGCACTCTCCAAGATTTGTCCTGCTCTCATAAAACAAACCATATAGAAACCATTAGTATCAGGACTGCAAACTTTTACCGACGAAAACTATCAATGCAATGAAAATAAAACTAAAACTCAATTCACCTGAGAAAAATTAACAATAACAGGTAAAATGCGTGCAACACAATCCTGAGGTTCCAGTAACTTTCCAAGAGCTGCACAGCCTTCCACAGCCAATAGTATAACAGAATCTTGCTCTGAAATGATGGTAAAATATAAACAATATTAAACACGAATAAGAAATATGTATCAGCTAACAAAAGGTTTCTTCATCAAACCTTGCTTCTTGGTTTCAAATGTGATTTATTTACCATGCAAATTAGTTCTAAGTGATGGACACATGACAGATAGAGTAAGAGGTGACATAATTCACGTATTAAATACCATCTTTAGTAAGATCATCGAACATAGTCATGATCTCAGCGTTCAAATAGCTAGACTCCACAGTTTCCGTAAATTTCCCCAAATTAGTTGCAGCAGCTCTTCGCACCATAGGCATATCATCTTTGCACAACTGGCCATAAGTAGACCGTAACTCTGTCTTCAACACATCACTACAACCTTTGTACGCAACATGAAATAAACCACACGCGGAAACTCTAGCTGCAAACCATTCACCAGCCGCAAGTCTCTACAAAATAAAAAACCTTAATTAGTTAAGACCAAAACAAGCCTCTAACACAGTTCCACTCTCACTATTCTAACCTTCAAAAGAGGGACAAAGAAGTCCACAAGATCACTCTCCCTCATCTGAGACCCAATCTTACAAAGCGAGTCAACAGCTTTCTCTCTCACACAAGTCTCTTCAACAGTACATAAAGACTCAAGAGGAGGTAAAAGCACATGAGCATGCTCAACCCCTCCAACAAAGGGAATAAAAACACCCAATTCCCCAGCCATTGCAAGGAGAACCTCATCGTCATCATCACTGTTCTCACTCAAAAATGGGATTAGCTCTTTCCTCGTACGCTCCTCTCCAAGGGCACGAGCTATTGTAGAAAGGCGACGGATGGAGTTCAAACGAAGCTGGATATCATCGTTCTTGAGCTCGTCGATGAGTACAGCGATGGGATATAGAGGTTCATCCACCATGGCCATTGTTATTATCCACTGCAAGGAAGAAAAGATGAATTTAAAAATCGTTTGTTTGAAAATGGTAAAGTAAGCTAATTTATTGATGCTAGTGAGGTTGGAGATAATGGGTTTATCAGAGATCAAGTAATAGAGAAGGAATTAGGTAAAGAGATCAATTTGTTAATTATAACAGATCCTGGAGCGAAAAAACTACGGGGAAGAGGAAATGGAGGCGTAAAGATGAGATCTTTATGATGCATAAGAGGGGGGGAGTGGATTGAATCTTACGGATCCAGGCGTCTCTAACGAGAGAAGTGCTTTCAGATTCCGAGGAGCGAGCGAGAGGAAGGGGAGAAGAGAGAGTTGCGAGCGAGGATTAAAAATGTATTCTTTCGTTTGATTTTTAAGATGAAATCAAATGAGAAAAGAAAAAGAAAATTAAATATTTAAATAAAAACACTAAAGGAAGGTGGGATTGGGCCTTAAGTAGCTTATTGGGCTTTAAACATATATGAACTCGGTTTGGTTGTCTTTGGAGGCGTGATAGTTTTGTGGCGCTTGTTTTGCATCGGCTTTCTCTTTCAAAGCAGCCCAGCTTTTTAAGTTGTCAAGAAGGAAGGAATTGCTGTATATTTCATGTAAAATAAACATACGTATTGTTATGGACTGGCCGAAAATTTTTTCATTCATTTTGATTTCTTTTTTTCTTTTATGGCTATTGGCTAAGTAGTGAGCAGATCATATGATTCGTATCTAAAGTACTTGGTCACAGAAAATTGGTCGCCATGATCATGGCTAATTTATAGTGTAACTTGTTTGAAATTTGGCATCTTTAACTAGTAAAATTTACTAACCAAACTTGGTTTATAGTTTTTATTAGTTCTTTCTTATAAGGTAGCAAGGTTTTTGTTTTTATTCTTCCTCGTGAAAAGTTGTAATTTGCAAGTGTTCCAAAGAAGTGTGTAATTTGCATTCCCTACTGTAAATTTTCATATATTTTTGTGTTCAAGAATATATTATACAACCGGGCAGAAATAAGAAAAACATATACCCAAAAAGGAATAAATAACAAAAAAAACTTTACTAAAATAATGAAAATAACAAAAACCACAAAAAGTCTTCAATAAACAAAAGGGAATAGAGAAAAAAAAAAAAAAGACGACAAGAAGGACCACACAAGAAATCCATTGGATAAAGATGCTGACCAATGAAAACAGTATTACAAGGATCATATTCAGAACTCAACCAATCAAAATCTAGATAAGGCCTCTAGGTAGGTCCCAGTTAAGACATAAACACCCAAAAAAGTACATAAAATTTTTCATTACTTAAAAATCCACTGACAAAAGAGAACGCACTTCATGCGCGGAGTACAACTTTTTGTAGAGAGTAATCATTTTGAGAAACTATTCAATTATTGAAGTTGAACTCGTAATCAAGCTCCCTCGTGCTCTCTCCTCCTTGAAGATGAAAAGTTTGGCGAGTGCTGTTGGTGCCAAGACGGCGAGGGCCTGCGACAGCTGCGTGAAGAGGCGGGCACGGTGGTACTGCGCCGCCGACGATGCTTTCCTATGCCAATCTTGCGACACTTTAGTCCACTCAGCCAATCTTCTCGCTCGCAGGCACGAGAGAGTTCTTTTGAAGTCTACCTCAATGCATGGCAACCACAACCACTCATCATCACCTTCTTCTCCTTTGCATGAAGCTGCGACGTGGCATCACGGGTTCACTCGTAAACCTCGTACTCCACGTGGCTCCTCTGGTAAGAAGAATAATAATTTGTCGATATTTCATGATTTGGTTCCCGAGATTAGTGTTGAGGATCATACGGACAGCTACGAGCTTGAGGAACAGCTGATCTGTCATCAAGTGCCGGTTCTTGATCCAATGGTGGTTGAGAAGTTATTAAACGATGTCGTTGAGTCCAAGGTCGAGTTTCCTATGGTGAGAAGTGGTGTAATGATGGATGATCAGGAGGACGAAGATAACGCTGAGAGTTGTTTAAATGGTTTTTTCCCGACCGACATGGAGCTTGAAGAGTACGCTGCTGACGTGGAGACTCTACTCGGTCGCGGGTTAGAGACAGAGGAACTAGGGTTATCTAATATAGAAATGTTTAAAATAGAAAAAGAAGAAACAATAGACCGAGATGGAACGGTGCCGTTTGAGATGAGCTTTGATTACGAGTCACACAACACATACGAAGAAGAGGCAATAAAGAGTGATGAATGTATTAAGGTGAAGGAGGAAGAGCAAAAGAATGTTGTGATGTTGAGATTAAACTACGACTCGGTGATATCAACTTGGGGAGGCCAAGGTCCACCGTGGACATCAGGAGTGCCACCAGAACGTGACATAGACATCATCAGCGGTTGGCCAGTTGTTTCCATGGTATGTTAAAGAAACTCATTCTTTATAAATATCAAAAGTGAGTTTCGCTAGTAGCTATATTAATTTAGTCCCAAGTTAGAACTAACAAACTAATGAATTTGTGTGTATTTAGGGAGACAATGCTAGAGAAAATCATCAGAAGCATCAGGTTGGTGGATGTTTAACCTCAAGTGGGTTTGGAGATGGAGGAAGAGAAGCTAGAGTCTCAAGGTACAGGGAGAAGAGGAGGACAAGATTGTTTTCGAAGAAGATAAGGTACGAGGTACGTAAACTTAATGCAGAGAAAAGACCTCGAATGAAAGGAAGATTCGTTAAGAGAGCTTCCCTTGATGTTTCTGCTGTAAACTCACCATTATGTGTGAATTACTGAACATTCTTGTTATATCTCACTTTCCCCTTTTTCAAATAAAAAAAGTTAAAAAGTTTTTTGTGAGTTTTTTCTTCTTCTGCAACGACAGAAGGTTTTTTTTACACTTAATTGTGCTTTCTGGGCTTGGTATGTACATAGGAAAACCAATAATGTGACTTTCTTTGTATCCATAGAACTGATGTATGTCTATATTATCTGGTAATAAAAGTGTAACAAGTTATTGTTATTGTTAAATGTACTTATAAGTGAGCTGATATTCTTAAATCAGGACATACTATATGTTACCAGCGTTACACTTAACAGAGTTTGATGGAATAGGGAAAGAAAACTAAACCTGATACCAATTTCAGTGCAATCAAACCAGACCTACCAAACACACCAAATTCCATTAAGAACTGGATTATTTTCTTAAGAGATATTTAGTCCTGCTCTTTCTAACAACAATATGTCATTATCAGAGAGCCATTATTGATTTAAATTTGTGGTACATAAGATATCTTACTTCTAGTGGCAGGAACTTAAGGTAAGATGGATAATTTCAAAGACGTTTTTTTTGTTTGGGAGTGCCACTATCCAAAGCTACTACGTCCAAGATAGGTTGATACAAAGTATGGGTAATAATTTCAAAGAAGTTTTTTGTTTGGAAGTTCTATGCTGAATACAATACATAGAGGCACTACATAAAACAGGCTAATAAGGTAAGGGTAATACATTAGAGAAACTTTCATGTTGTAACTTAAGAGGGTGAAGAAGGTCCAGTTCACAAAAGATAAAAAGACAGTACACTACTAAAAGATAACGAAGTCACATCGTCGTCGGATGTTGTTGTTTAGCTGAGAGTTGGGTCCCCACGAAGGAACCTAGAGAGGCATTGCCTTTGTAGTTTATATCACATTCAATTCGTTTTGCCGCTTCTCGGATCTCGATTACAGACAGTTACTGGATAGTAGATAAAACGTATGTTACCTACGAAAAGTATAATTCAAGAACAAGATATATCGTAATATTTACAAAAGAACATTTCCAAAAATATCATATTTAGGTGTTTCTTTCTCTTAAAAATGCTAGATTTTCTTACAAATCAAAACTGTTTTAAAGACGTATAAAAATCATCTGCCTTAGTAAGATCATCAGTGAGACGAGATAAGTTTATTAAGAAGAAGTACGTCTCAAATCTTTTATTTTATATGATCATGGTTAATCTTATATTATTATCTTCAAAAATGTACCCATAAAGCATGAGATTAATCAAAGATTGAAGTATACCAATGAATCTCAAATTCGCAATGTGGACATTCCTAAACAAAACTTGCAAGTTGGTTAATCTATCGAATACAAACACAAGAAAGAGCCATAGATGCTGTTCACACTTAGCCATGCAACTGTTGATCTTACATTTATGAACCATAAGATTCACTATATTACAAACTATGGTATATATTTTTCTCATAAAACTGAAATTCATCAACAAACAAAAATGCTTTGTATCGCGCCTTGTTTGGACCAAATCAATAGAGATATTACAAAGATTGAAAGGGCAACTGGACCCACCATATTAAATCGAAAATTTGGAGTTTTGTAATAATTTATTTCATATGAGAAGAAGGGTGGCTCATAGCTGAATATGTTCGTGTTCCACTCCTCTCTTTAAAAGTCTTTTTCAAAGTATAAACACATCTTTAAATAAAATGAGTAAATTCCAAAACGTGAGGGACCAGCATTTTGATAAAAACCCGTATGGCATCTCCCCTTAATGTGTCCTTATAATATTTTTATTTCTTTTTATTTTCTTAATCATAAATTTATTATTGGGTATATAGACTGGTGATGCTCTAATAAGTAAACTTATTTTTACACACGCAGAATGAGATTAGGTTGAAGCGACATGGACCAGATCCTTAGAGCGTTATCCTAAGAGCAGGTCCATCAAGGGGTACTTGGGCCAAGGTCCTCAAGAAAAATACAAAAAAATAAATGAAAAAAGGAAAAAAAAGGAAGAAGCGATACTGAAACGGGGAGTTTGAGGATTGTTAAGGAGCCTTACGTGGCACTTTGTCATTGGACCGTCATCTCTCTTCTCTTTCTCTTCTCTCTCTCTCTTCTCTTCTCTTCTTTCTCGACAATTTCGTCGTGTTCTCTCTTCATCCATGTTTTCTCTCGACGAAATCTCCACCAGTGATAATAACACCAAATCTGCCATTAACGGAGCAACATCCACCACCATACCGGAGTGGATAACCGAGAAAATCAACGTGGATCATTCCGCCACGTCGATCTTCACACCGGAACCAACGGCTGGGCCTCCCCTCCAGGCCACATCTTCCCTCTCCGCTCCGCCAACTACTTCACCAACAAACATAATTCTCCAGGCTGGAGACTACCTCCTCTCTCCCACCGACGTTGACTGACTCAAATCCACTACCAATGAAGGATCTATCAATGGAGGATGAAAAATTAAACAGATTATTAGAGATTCTAAAATTGTCAAATCATTATATTAAACACTAATTTAATGTTAAGTACCCCATTAGAAGTCCTCATGAATGTAGATGGTACCCTATTGGGAGTGCTTATTTTTTCTACTTTTATTTTAATTTTTTTTGTCAAATTAAAAAAAAATTAAAAAGAATCAATCACGAATCGCCACGTGTTTGTGAGGCCCGCAAACAGTTTAAGCAACAAAGAAACAATGATGCTTATTTTGCATCTGGAAACAAGGATGCTTCTCTTTTGGTGGGCCTCAATGGGTTAAGCATCCCTTTTTGGCTTGGGATAAAGGTGCTCTTAAGCCTCTGCACCTTTCCCAGTTCTATAATAGTTGCTTACGTACGTGGTGGGCTTAACAAAAAGAAATATTACAATACATCTGGGACCAATGAATATAGAGTGAGTCGAAAATTAGTAACTGAAGTAAATCTGGGTTTCAGCTTTCGACCCATAAATAAACCAAAGCCCAATTCCTTAGTCAATGGACTCACTTTGGCCCTCTCACTCGAAATAAACAGAAAATATCGATAGATTTTAATTTATTATTTTGGTTAAGATATGTTAAATTAACTTATAGGAGTATAAAACACAAATAAATTGATATAATTTTATTTTTTAATTACCCAAATGTTAAACTAAACAGAATTTCTAAAATTCGTAGAAACCAAAAAAGAAACAATTGATACTACAATTAAAATTTAAGTTTTTAAAAAATATTAGATATTTGAAAATTTTGTTTAACAATAAAATTTGTATGATTATTAAAATACTTAGATTATATTTCAAAAGTTACCAAAAAATTGAAACCAATATTAAATGTAACTATCCATGTCACATATCATATTTTTTGATGAAAATGATTATAGAAATAACATATGTAAAATCACTTCATAAATAATGTCTAAAGAATAAAATGTTATAATAAAATATATTTATTTCTTTGAATTTAGACATATTGTATCTTTGGTTGATATATTTTGAGTTTTAGTTGTTTGAAAATTTTTATCGATATTTTCATTAATTGGGATACAAAAATGTTAGTCCAAGTACACATATAATTTCAGATTAAATTAAAATATGCCAATATTATATATATATTTGAATATTCTATACACAGTTTGGATATATTCAAATATATTTATTTGAAAATATATTAAAACGATGATGAGTTTACTATATGTTTGATATTTATTGGTATTAATATCTGATCCAAATCCGAAAACACCTACACTGAAGTTATTATTTAGCGTTAATGTCTATTTAAAAACATCTGTTAGATTAATCATTATAATTTTTACATAAAATTGAAATGCACAAAAGTTAATCAACTCTTTTCTTAAAAATACAATGAATGAACATTAATTTTTGTCAAATGTGGAAGGAAGTGGGATAAATGGCTGATACTACTGGAAGGAGTCCTTTTTGGGTAATAGGTGTTGTAGCTGGTATTCTTGTTTATTGAACAAAAGCAATTGCACCTTATTTATTAAATTTAAAATTATTTTTATGATTACATTAGAAATTGAAGACTGAATCCATCTCCCAATCCTATCTAATACATTGGCCCATTCAAAATTTAGGATTGGACACGAATCAAATATTTAATTTTTAAAAAATATTTACGATCTAATATTTTGTTGCATCAAAATAATCGGTTATTCAGTCTGACATGTATCTATTGAATTACTTAAAGTCTAAATATCCGCAAAACTTATATTTAATCGGATAATCCATTAATACGTTTAAATAGTTTTTAAATGTAACAAAATAATAGTACTTGTCACAAAATACAAAAAGTTATTTACATTTTATAGCTACAATACTTAAATAATCATTTCAATAAAAATATTGTAAATTTATATAAAGTATAGTAATTCTATAATTTATATATAGCTCTTTATATATGTATATGCATACAACGGATATACATTCATAAAAAATATTAGTATTTGTAATTTGATTTATCTTTATAGATTTTACATATTTTTATTTGTTTTGCTGTATGTGATAAGGCATATCCAAATTTTTTTGGTTATAGTCAAAATTTATAACTATTTTACCTAGCCCTTGATCACATGAGTCACTATCTCGTCCACACAAACCTAAAATATTGCTACAAGTAGCACACATAACTTGTTGGGTTTATTTGCCATATAGCCAAGAGAAAAAATGTAAATTAGATTTTTAGAAAGATGGTAGAAAGAAATAGGGAGAGAAATTAAGAGAAAGAGGATGTTAGTGAATATGTTTTTTTTTATAGCTATTAGGCCTAATTTCCCTAAATTGTTATATGACCAGGGATTTATGTTTATTACTTTATTTTATTTGTGCTTTTTTACTGCTATTACAACACTACAAAAGTCTAGTTGACCTTTTGGTATATACTCTCATTGATGACTCATTTTCTTATTTCCTATCATGGATAAAATTTAAAGTTGAAAAAAATTGTTTCACGTCGATGTAAGTGGGCCGTACGTAATGAATAAAAGAAAAAGGGTAGGTCCTTCGTCACGACAACCCTCAATATTATTAGCTGCCAGCCTTATTTTTCAAATAAAATGATAAATGCTTCTGCAGCTCTGCTTCTTCTCTAGATTTTTTATTTCTGTAGAGTTTTTGCCGTTCTAGTCATTCAATTATTTATTCTCTTATTTTCTATTTAAATTCTGGTGATTTATTGCTTTAACCTTAATATATTCATAGTCGTAAACAAAAATACAATAAAACAAATGTTTCTAAATAAAATATAACTGATTTATAAGGACTTATTATTATTCATGGCAAGCAGTGGTTATTTTTCACAAAGTACTAATTATTTTCAAATTTAAGTGCTTGATGTATATCAGTATATGGAAAAAAGAATACTAATGTGAGTAAATATATGATAACATCATAAATCCAATAATTAAATATACCTTCATTTCTTAGAGAATTGTGTAACTTATTTTGAATACGGACCTTTGCATATATAGAAGGAAAAAAAAACTGATGACAAGGACAAAACCTATAAACAGGAGGTAAAATTTATTTTTCTCTCGTTAAAGGGGCTAGACAAATAGATAACTGATTACTGAAAATCCAAAGTAGTTTTTACTCATTTACAGAATGTGTATTTATCATATATGGATTTGCACTAGTAAATTACAAGGATGTAAACGTATATGGAACTTGGTTAAACATCAAACTCATGCCATGATTTTAGTCTCTCCAACGGCTAACAATTTTTGTTTAAGAAATACATACAACAAAAGTTGAGGTAACAACAAGGATAATTTGGACAATAATAGTTGAAAAGAAGAAGGAAGAAAATAAAAGAATATATATAATAAAAAAGCTAAAGAACTAACTAGTTGTGAAGTCGATCTGGGGAGCTAGGGATCTGTCTGTAAGAATCTTCTAAGCCACTGTTGCTATTGTTTAGACCCTTGAAGTACCTTTGAAAGAGCCTTTGACTATTGTCCTTCTTGTTCTTGGAGGCAAGGGTTCCGTCGTCTCCAGCCAGTTCCCGGACTTGTCCTTCCCGGAACAGCCAGATCTGGAACAGAGAAATGAGTAAGAGAGCGACGGAGAAACTCAGCAGAACATCTCTACAACCCATACAGAAAAAGAAATGGCGATGAAGAAGATCAGAAAGAGAATAGGTTTGGATGAGGAAAATGAACGTGAGAGAGTTCTTTGTGATATGACAAGAAGAAGGTCAGAGAGTGTTATATTTAGATATTTCTGTGTGTGTTTAATGTGGTGGAGCTGGAGCAGCCGGAGGGAAGGTGACGGGCGTGCTGCTGTGTCATTGACTCATTTGTCATTTTGAGTGAGTCTCTGTCTCTGTCGTTATCTATGTCTCTGTTTTGTTCATATATATATTACAATGAAATTGCTTATATATATATCTTCAACGAGTACATATATACAAGATGTTGTAATTTTATTTTGTCAACTGTTAGATGAGAAAAATGACACATCTGTTTCTACCTTTCTTTGTAAAGAAATTATCACGTTTTCTTTTTTTGCTTTTCAGGATATAGATGAAATCGAAACATTCAAAGTTGTTATGCCATTACCATAGATGAGAAGCTGAGAGAACATTTTTGTAGGCGGTACATATAATTTATAACATTTTCTCAATTATACGATGGATTTACCTATTTGAGTTTCTTGTCCCATGCATGTTCTTTTGATATATTATCTGTTTATTCTTGGGTTAGTTAAGAATATGGTCCAAAAATTTTAAGTGAATGATTCTTTTGCTAAAATAATGGAGTGGTCCAACGACAAATGTATGCACAGAAAAGATCATAATCATGAGTTGCATTCCCAAGATAGGTGCGATTTTTGTAGCGCTGAGAATTAAATGGATGCAATTAATTAGGCACAAAAATTGATATTTCTAGCTACCCGAGGGATATGTATAGAAGAACATGTACAACAAAAGAGGAACATAAACAACGAAAACGAGAAGCTAAAACCCAAGTTTCAGTGTGTCGGTGTGGTCAAACCGACGACGAGATATCGGTTGAGGAGAAGGAGAAATGTTGATTGATTATTCTCACGTAAAACGTGTTCTAGAATGTAAATTACTTATCTATAGGATAAAAAGTTGTTTTATCTAATATGATAGTGTTGTAGAAAAGGTTGAAATATATAACAAATTTACAGTATATGGTAGGTAGTAAACAGGATTTAAGTCGGGGCGAGGATTCAATCGACCACATGGGTATGTCTGACTAAATAATATAAACAACAAGAAATTTAAAATGCATTATCAATTTCAGATTATCTATATATAACTATCTGGGCTAATAGCAATAATTCTAATTAGCAATCACATGTGTTTGCAGGTCCATGAGAGCTCACAAAGCTAACTTCTGTTTTCAGTGTCATGGTGGCCGTCTTCTTAAATCAGATTTGCTCACATTTTTAGTACTATTTGAATGCGATTAGTGTTGTAAAATGGTGAAAGTTTTTTAAAGAAAAAAAACGATGAAACTAATAGCAAAATAGTAGGAAATAAACAATAAGTAACATCCGTAAAAGATATGAATAATACAACTTTTTATGTCATAAACTTTTTGTAACTGATTATTTTATTTTTTTGTGATTAATAATCTATCAGTCAAACTGTTAGGGATTTGTTTATAGAAAACATAGCTTGTTTTATACCATACACGAACCCTTATAATTTATAAGTTATAAATAATAAAAATGTGGTGTTCAAACTTTGTTGGTTGAGATATGTCCTTCATATTACTGTATTGTCTTATCAAACCAATAGGATGAATAAAATTGATGCATGCTAATCCTGAAAAGCAAAAAGATTAGACAAACGAAAAAGTAGAAAAGTACAAAACCCAAATTTGTTTCTTCTCAACTTCATTCGCCATTTTCTTCTTGTCATCGTCTCAATTTCTTTTGTTTTTTTTACTCCATACCTCTTCCCCCTGACCCCAACATCATTATTCTATTTTAACTCTTGCTTCCGATTTTATTAATTCTATACCAGTTTAGGACCTTTTCTACGTTCATCTATATATCAAAAAACTATGTTTCCAAACCTTACTCTGTAGGAATATCAGTTTCGTGCAGTCGTGCTCATGGTTATAGCCTTATAGGCGCGTAAGGCTAGCTACTTATAGAAACTGGCCCTTGTTAAAAATAGAAACAATTAAATAAATAGTCATTTCATTGATACGTTTTGCTGGAATTTTTGGTAAAAGAAATTTGGAAACACACAAAGAAGATAGATATGTGATACTTCATAAGTTTTATTTTATGAACTTCGGATGGCTTCGTGTACCATGTGAATGCAAGGTAACCAGAAGTCTACGATGAACGTTATTTACCCAAAGTATTTGGATTGGACCCTATCTGAGATGAATCAAGTCCCTTTCATAGCTTTTTTTTATCGTTTATGAAACTTTTGTTTTCATCACACCATTTTTGTCAACCATGTGAAATGGTGAGTCGCTCGAGGGGGAACCAAATTAGCACGGCTCAATGGTGCTTATACAACTGCAAAGAACGTTACCAGCCAAAAAAATAATCAGCATGAATAGTTTTGACAACGTGGAGTATAGGATGTTCGGTTATAGAGACCAAGGTTGAACAATCTGTCTTGTTTACAAGGGATATTTCAACTCCTATAGAAACGTTGTGGTTTCATGCTTTTTAAATATACTAAAGAGGCCACTGAAAAAGAACTGCAAAAGCTGTATATTCAACAAGAAAACTATCTAACATGTTGTTTCGTTATTGTTAGTTGTTTAGCCATAGAGGGGGTAGGCAATAAAAAGTCTAGACCGAACAAAGATGGAGTCGAATTAGAACGGTTCACTCTCAACCGGAAAATCCCAAAATTAAACCATGAAGAAATCAAACCCCAAACCAACCTAACTTTTCTTTATCAAGAAATTTAAGGATATTTTCTATAAAAAAAATTCATGATTTAAACTGAAACAAAACCATACAAAATCAAAACAATTTATTAATTTTGATTACAATATATGGTTCTTACTAAAACCGGAAAATCGAACAACCGAACCGATTGAAAAACCTCGAATCTCCCGACTTCAATCTTGTCTTACGTTATTATCTAAAGGTGGAAGCTGAGTAGAAGCGTGCAAGTTCCAAATATCATCGTCCCACACAACATCTTCGAACAAAACTCCATAGTTTTTCTCAACAAACTCAACGTCCCAACATGAAGGCAACACGGTGCTCCATGTCATCAGCTCGTCGACCAAACCGTCTCCTTCCCTGAGCCTCATACCCCACAACTCTTCCTCCTCTTCCAACGCCGCAGCCGCAGCTACCGTCGCTGCTGCAGCCAATGCATCAACTTGCTCCACCACCACCACCTCCATTTTCCTCTCCTCTTCCTCTAATTTCTGTTTCTTTTTGTCCCTCTTCATTTAAATGATCAATGCATGCAAGAATGAAGGAAGAGAGATGACATATTTAAAGGAGGGATCAGAAGAGAGGAAAATGAGTTTTGAATAGAATGTGTATGGAGACATGCGTTTAGGACATGGAGGAGGAGAGAGACTACAGTTGCTTACCCACACACCATCTGTCTGTTCCTTTGGCCCTACGTGTCTTCCATTACTTTTTGTTACAAATATCTTTGAGAATGTTCACCAGAATATTAACAATTTTTTTTTCATTAGTTTTATTTATAATTTGCTGAAAGTATCAAAATGCCGCCTAGAGGAAATTGAGATCCCCAAATGTTACCAATTATTATCATTTTAAAAACTATTTTCTTATGTTGTTTTTCATGATGTCTATGAAAAAGAACAAATAAATTGGTTCGATTTAGACTTTAAAAAAGGTGGGAAAATGATATTAAAAATAGTGGAAATCCCACCTGGACCTGATATAGACCAAAAAAACGTTCATGAGAAAGAGACAAAATTGTAATGTGGAAAGGACGAGATGAGATTGTGTGTATGCGAAGGGGCAAGTCATAAGTGGACCTTTCTGATCCTACACGCACACGACCACGACCATGACGATGTGAACCGCTATATTATTCTTTCTTTACTTTTGTTTGGAAGATACATACATGTTTCCAAATTAGCACATTCATCTTAATGGCCGGTGAAGAAATAAAACAGGGCTTTCACGATTAAGTAGTGCAGAGTTTCAATAGTAGGAGGAGTAAATAAATAAATCAAACTTTTATATGGTTAGGACTGAATCGCATATAATACATGTAGTATCTATACCGTTCTCTTTCTTTACTTGTATTTTCTTTTCCAACAAAAAGGAAAATCAAAATAAACTAATAATATATCAACTGAACAGGATCACATCATATACAAAATTAGAAGTAACACCTCTGGTCTCATATTATGTAATTCAGGTTATTCGAACATTATAGTTAGGAATGAACACGATTTGAGAAGTTCTTTGACCGATCTCATTGTTTGCAACTCCCATGTCCGCGTTGATGGTGAGAGTTTTCTTGGAAAAGAACTCAGTTTATATTGGTACGGAGACAATAAAAACAAAAGATGAAAAACGTGTTAGGTTAGATTACAATCCAATAACTAAATCTATTAAAGTTAATGTAGCCAAACAAGATAATGTTAGGTACAAATTGCAGACACTAGGTGATAAAAACTGTAGTAAATATTTTAAGCGGATAAACATATAAATATCATGAGTTTGTATCAAAGTGTGTTACATTAAACAGAAATAGTATGTCATATTTGAAACTAACTAACTAACTAAGTTAACTAATGATTTTACCCCCCAAAAAATATATGTGAAACTAATATCATGGAGGAAAACATCAGATATTTGGAAGAGAAGAAAAAACGCAGCTTGGCATCCCATTTGTGTTTACTTTGTATATACATGTCACCAAACAATCATTTTGCAAACTATGAAAATAGTAAAGCCATCCACTCTATATTCCCATAATAATGTGGCCATTCGAAGTATTTTTGGCCTAAAGCAAATGTTTTAGTGGCCTTATGCAAGGGCTGAAAGTGGTACTAGTGTCATTATCTATCAGTAATAAAAAAGATGTTACCCAAGACAATTATTATTACTGGTTCATGTTAATCATGATCAACAATTAAATTACATATTGAAAACATCAATTATCTCACATTCTATCCCATGTTCCCATTATCATAATATACTTTCCTATGTATCAATGTCTAATGATGACTGAATTGACATCTATGTTATTTGGTTGGAATCTATACTATTATTTAAGAAGTAAATTTGCTTAGTTGTGATGTTCTCCATAAGTTTAGGTAATTTTGTTTATTTATCATATTATTAATATTTATATATACTTTATTTATAAATAAAAAGAATTTACATGAATATATCATATTTTTAGTAAATAAGATAATTCTTGTGAATTATGTTATTATCTTGAAATATATTTTTCTATATAAAACTTAAATTTTAAATTAAGATATAAACACTACTATATTTATCTAAAACAAATTTATATTAATAATTTAATATTTAAATATAACTAAAACGAATTTATATTAATAATTTAATATTTTTCTAAAACAAGATAATCATTATGGATTATGTTGTTATGTTGAAAATATATTTTCCTATTATAAAACTTAAAGTTAAGATATATTTAGTTATGATTTATATTCAATTAAGATATATTTAATTTTTATATATAAAACTTAAATTTTAAATTAAGATATAAAAACTATTATATTTATCTAAAACAAATTTATATTAATAGTTTAATATTTAACTATAACTAAAACAAATTTATATTAATAATTTAATATTTTTCTAAAATAAGATAATCATTATGGATTATGTTGTTATGTTGAAAATATATTTTTATATTTTAAAACTTAAAATTAAGATACAAAAATTATATTATTAATAATTAAATATAAATCATAATTAAATATAAATAATCAACATAATTATTTGAAAAGTGAATTTGTTGATTTGTCTCCATGATCCTAGGTAATTTTGATCATTTATTAGAATTTTTATAATTTTATTTATTATTGATTATATAATTAAAACTATTTTTTATTAATAAATATTAATACGAGAGTTATGTCCGCAAGTGCGGACCAAACACCTAGGGTCTAAATAGTAACATAAGGAACGAAGGGGAATAACCAATTCCTACTTATTCCTTAAAAAAAACACCATTCATAAAGAATATTTCCTGCGTATGGCTCCTTATTATTTCTTGAATTCTAAAGAATTATAGAACAAAAATATTTCTTAACAAAATTGATATGGAACCAAAGTAATAAATATTCATTTTCATTCATTTTATTTTGTTCTTACTTATTATTTTCCTACTTATTATTTTCCTACTCATTCCTATTCCTATTTTAATAGTCACCAGTTAGAGCCCTAGTTTACTATGAAAAAATAAGTAAATAAAGCAAAATAGAATTATTTGACATTATATTCGTTGTGAATATCAAACCAACATTTTGGAAAATATTCAAAGTACTTTAATTTATATAAAAGTGGTATAACTAGGTAACCATTTTCTTGATTTAACTCAGTTACTTTTCAAATCATTTCACAAGTCACAACTCATAGGGGATAATCTCATCGTTACTCTTTAGCATATACTCATTTCCAAACCTAAAGAAACATTGGTTATACATCCTTCACAAATGATGACGTGGCAATTACATTAAGTTTGAAGGCTTCCCTTCTGTTGCTACAACAGGTGCAGCCCCATAAGTGACATTCACTAGTTGCGCTGCAGCTCGTGCTGCTGCTGTTGCACGATCAGCGCTAGCTATAGCAGCCCGAGCTCTCTCCATTACATCACCTTGATCCCGCCTTGTATCAGGAGGCGGTTGAGAAGCTACATGCAGCTTAGGTGATGATGACATGTTTTTGCTCACTGGGTTTTGAGCTTGAAGCCTCTGGAGTCTCTCTGTGGCCTCTGCAGGCAGAAACTCAGCTTCCCTAGTAACCGAAGACTGAGTGTGGCCCTGCTGGGACGGTCTAGACTCAGAGACACCATCTTGACGATGTATCTGCTTAGCTCCACCCTACAAATGACATTTCAACCCAAACCATTCAAATTTATAAACAGAATTCATTAGGTTTATACCATTTGAACCAAACTCAACATTCACAGTAACCGCTATATGTGGAAAGATTATCATTCTATTGTTATGCTTGCAGACATATATTTATTGAATTGAAAACTTTTAAATCCAATGCACATGTTATTTCTATATTGGTGAAATCATTGTTTCCCCCCTTCATTAATCTTTGTGCATGTTACCAACTAGCTTTCTCTCAAAAACTGAAAAAAAAATCAGTGTTCAACAAGAGGTACCAGTAAGTCTTCATGGCTCTTCATGAACTCTGCTTCCGTGGCAGAGGAATCCCAATTCAAACTATACTCCTTAGCAATATCCTTCAAAACCTTGAGCCTTACCTCTCCGGACGGACTTGCAGGAGAAAGCTTTTCAATAATCTGCTCACAAAAAAAAAAAAATCCAACTAGTTAAGCGACATCACTTCATTCAAAAACATGAATAAGAAAGAAGCTAAGTATATATAAATATATTAACTGTACGATTGACACCAGAATCAGGACGGAGCTCAGAAGAAACCATGACAAACTCTTTCCCATATTTAGTACCAAAAAGATTCTTAAGCTGGAGAAGATCAGGCACTTCTGAACACCTAGGAGCAGCGAAAATAATGCTAGCAATAGCTTCTCTCAACTCTCTCGGACATTCCCTAAATTCCATTACAATATAAGAAAATCATCACAGATATTTAAAAAAAAAAAAAAAAAAAAGACTAACTTTTGAGTTTCGAGAATCGGAACACGAGCGAGTATAAACTCGCAGAAGAGCTCTATTATCTCATAAGCTGCCCATAGATTCATTTCTCTGATCACATGCTCCACCTAATAATCTCAAGCCAAAAAGAAACATATCAGTTGTTAAGATTAAATAAGATTGTGAATGTGATGAGGAGACAAAGGAAGGACCCTGATTCGAGCGATTGGTTCTTGTCCAGCTTGTAAGAACTGAGCAATCTCTTTCTTCATGTTTTTGAGATGCATGTCTCTCTTGTTTTGTAGTAATTTCATCCTTGCTATCGCCAAGTTTAAGGATGTTTTGCTGCCAATAACATAAAATTAAGTTGAAGGAAAGAGTAATTGATCGGATCGATTAAATAGTAAACAAGATCACGTATAAGGCTAAGAAGAAGGAGGAACCATTTGGCGCCAAAGACTCCACGGTTGAAGAGTTGGTTTAGCAGCGACATCGGATCTGATCGGAGCGGAGCGGAGGAATTCAATCCACCGGTTGGTGAAGGTCTCTCAGTTGCGATCGATCGTTTGATTGAAGAAAAGGAAAAAACGAATATAGTGGTGGAATTCCCTGCGGCGCGGTACACGGGGACATAAAGCGCGCGTGACAATCGTTGCTCGAAAAGAGAGAATGGGGGTCATACTCTGTACGATGTGAGTGGTAAAATCTTTAGCATATCATTGGATTTAGTATTGACTTCCGACCAATCACTGTGTTTCTGACATTACATTTCAACTAAAGATATGGATTTTCAGAGTAACAAAAGCTACTGTGTTTACTAAATAGTACCAAGAGGGAGCCATTGTTCCTGATAACGAGCCTGGAGCTGGTGACTATGTTCCTTGCGCTGAACCAGCTTCAAACCTGCTTCATATGTATGTGAAAATTCTGTCAGATTCCACAAGAGAGGTTATTGTCTCTACACTGGATCTTATGTCGATCGACAAAGTGGAGTTTCTACTTATAATATCTTCCCTTACAAGAGTCCTATGAGCTAGCTCGCGCTACAATCAAATTGGCAAAAGAATTTAAGGTTAATGTAAAAGTATGTGTGGTCTGGCCTAGTAGTAGTGGTGACGGTGTTGAAAGGGAGAGAAAATCAGCATTAGTTCCATGTGAAAGTTTTGTTGACGTTATGGAAGTTAAAGAACAAAATGGTGAAGCTTCTTGGTTGAGTATTTGTAAGATGTCAGAGAGAGAGAGGATTTATTTTGGCTCGTCCAGACGATCAACTTGTATGGAGTATGAAGTCTAGGGTTCCTCTGGACCCTACTAGGCACATGAGAGGTGTCTTCACCGTCATACTTGAATGGTAAACAATATGAAGAATGACAATTACTCCATATTCTATATATTTCCAAATAAACCAAGTCTCTCTTTTTTTTTTTTTTTTTGTAATAGTGTTTCAAGTTTTATTTACACAAGAACATTGTTTTAAGGTCTTGTTCTTAACTCAGATCGAGATGATCCAATCATCTAAATATATATAACAACTTGGAAATGTGCGTTTTTGCTTCCAGTAAAATGCGAAAATAGGCAAACCTAAAATTATATGGTATAATGCCTTATGAAAGAAAATAACAATTTTATCCTGGAAAAACTTAGGCAAACAAAAATTGATCGAAATCTGCCTTGATCAAAGTATATTCGTCAATATCACTGCCACTGAGTTTGGCAAAATTTTGTCCATATCAAGTATAAATTAGCAACGTGATATTTATCTAATTGTCGCAAAATCAGCCGGTTTATATCATACTTTTTTGGTGCATTTTTAATAAACTGCAAGTTATATGTTTTTTTGTGTAAAAGAACTGCAAGTTTTATGCTATAACGTAAGAAAATTATATATTCAACATTACGATAAATCAGCCGCCAAATGGTTTACAGTAAAGTTGTTTAATCAAATTTTAATCAATACGTAGTTTTTTTTTTTTTGAACGACAAATTAATATGTAGCTAAATTCCCCTAAGTAACGCTAAATCGTAAATGTGGTAGCAGACTTCGTCAAATATGAAACGTATATATCCACAAATGGCAAGACGCTGACTCACGAAACGTGTGCTCTTATCTTTTTCGGCCCGCACTTCCTGGAAAGCATCCGCCGCCACCTTTCTCCTTACGTGTTTTGTAATTCTATCCTCTAGCTATCTGCCACATCATCTAAAAGTCTTTCTCTTCCTCTCTTTAAATACACGCGTGACCCCTAAAGCCAAAAACCTCTTCTCTTTCTCAAACTTCCTTTCCTTATAATAACCAAGCAAAAGAAACTCAATCTTCAACCCCTCACCATGGAGGTACCGGTGATTAACAGGATAAGCGACATTGACGTGGGGATAAACTCAATGAACGACCAGTCGTTATTATCTCGACCCTTTGCCGTCTCCAGCGTTGGAAAGTTACATCATGCTTATAGTTTCTTGAAATGTGGCGCTTTATTGCTTCTTGCATTTTTTGCTTCATTCACCATTACAAAAATCAAAAACCTAGTCCTTAGGTTAAGACATGTAGACGTGTCTCTACCTTCCCCAGCTCTTGTCTATGACTACGACAGCGACTCCGATTCATCTTGTTCCTCAGACACCTCAGACGACGAAGACGAGGACCATGATAAAGAAGACGACTCCGTCAACGGCGATTCACGCGTTAAAAGATTTAGTTATTACCAAGACAATGAGGAGAAGGGTATAATCGGAAATGTACCATGGATGATGCGGCGGTGCAGTGGTAGCTTCGGCGACTTATTGTCAAGCGGAGTCGTGAAGCTATGGGAGAATCTTGATTTAGAAGGAAGTCATGACGCGGTGGCTTCTTTCTTTAACAAGTACGGAGCTTCCTCGTCGTTGTCTCCGGCGGTTTTCTTAGCTGCGGAGAAGAAAGGAGCCGAAACCGTGGAAGTGAGTGCGTGGGATGCACGCGACGGTTTCAGGATGCCGGCTTTGCTCGCGGAATGGAGGCAGCCGGGGAGGTTACTCGGGAAGATCGTGAGGGTCAACGCCGGGGGCGTTGACAAGATCTACGTCGAGGATGACGTCAACGGGGAGATAACGGTGGGAGACATGAGGATGGTTAACGGTGTGATGACGGGATTGACGGAAGCAGATGTGGGTACAATGGTGAGACGAAGACGGCGTCGGTGAGGCTGGCGATTCTCGTTGGGGAGTTTGTATTAATGACAGATGATTAGTGCTGTCTGGTCTAATAAAGACTAAAGATTCAAAATGAACTGTACATGACCTCAAACATTTTTTTTTTGTAAACTAGGGTAGGCCCGCCCTACGGGCGGATTAACAAATAATATAAATTACTTAAAATGTAACTTATTCTTAACTTAAATTAAAACTAATTTTCATGTTTTTATTAAAACAATTTATCTATTTATTTGACTATTTATTTTAAAAACATAAACTTATTAATTATTAAAATTTTAAGGAATATATTACTTTGCTTTTTAATGTTTTTTTAATTTAACTATTGTAATAGTTAAAGATAGTTTTAAAAAAATTGCTCGATAAGTTTAATGAAGTTATAAGTAATAACTAATAAGCAGCTCCAAGTTTAGATTACATAAAAAAATTAAAAGTGAGCATTACTATCTAAAATTATACATTTTTTGTTTGAGTATTAAATATACTATTATGATGTATGAAATAATTACGTAATCTAAATAACCCATGATTAGAGATTTAAAATAATTGATACTTGGAAATTAGCATAGTATAATTCTTACACTTTATTCTATATATAATATTTATTATATATTCTGACTTCATTTAAAATCAATTATTTATATATAACATGCTAAAGTGTTTTATAATAGTTTTGGATTATATAATATTTATTTAATCAAATTTATTATTTTCAATAAGAAGTTTGTGAACTTAAGATATTAGAAAGTAAATATATTAGTATAAGTAAATTTATTTACTATATTATTTTAATGTTTAAAAAAAAATATATGATCTATTGTAAAATAAAAAGGCTAACTATTTTATAGTTGTTGATACATCGCATTGCAGAGGAATATCTCATAGCATTCAATGTCAGTTTGTGTTACACGTCTAACTATGGATTTAAGAAGGCCATAAAAGGGAAGCATTTGTATCTCAGAGAGTTTCAGTTACTAAGAGTGAATACAAAGAGATGCGAGTGAAGATTAATCTGAGTCAAAAAATCTCTCAAAACACCATTGAAGGTAATAGAGAACCAGACGATCATTTCTTGGTCGCCGCAGAACAAAGGGGAGAGAATAACCGTAAATTTCCATGTTTCGTGAAAGCATAAATAGAGTTGTTTCTGCAAGACTATCGAGCTATCTCCACATCAAACTATAAGCCCAATAACACAAACGGAATAAGCCCATTCACACGAAATATATGACTTAATGAAACACAAAGTTTATAGAGATGGGACACGTGGCGTGTTGTTGGAGCACGAATTAGTGACGTGGCACAATATGAGGGAAGGAACTCTTCTTTATTTTGTAAATACTTTTGCAAATATTTTTGCTATCTTGTATTTAGAGTTTGGTTCAACAATGTTATTTTAGTGTCAAAAGTATATGTCTTTTACTTTAATTTTCTAAAGGAAAAAAAAGTTCTTGGAAACTGATTTTTATTGCCACATTAGATACCACATGAATATAAATAAGTTAGAATATTAAAGAAATCAGAGCATTCACAATATCTTTTGGAAAAGCCTTTTGAATTTAGTGGTAGAATGACTGATAGTTTAGCCTTTGTAGTGTTTTTCTTATAATTGATTTTATTTATTAATGTTCTAAAAATTGGTTTATATGACACTTAGACATCAAATTGGTTATAACAGAAAAAAAATTCTTAAAATGGTTTAAATTAGTTTCAACCATTCTAAATCGATTTAAAACGGTCAAATTAATATTATTAAATTGGTGTAAATTATTAAATCAAGTAACAGTGTTAGTGTAATTTAACAAATGTGCCTCATTTCGTTTTTTGGATATTCTAAATTTTTATAATTCATCAAAATAGCTTTATAAGAAAACTTACAAAATTAAAATATCTAATAAATAATAAATAAACAAATAATTTTAACACTTAGTTCTTGAATAGTCCGTTTAGTTGATAGGCATAGGGGCGGACACATATCAGATATCCATATTTTTAGAGGTATACATGATTCACTTTATTTCGTTTGAATAATCAATTATCCAACTTAATTCGATTTATAGCCATCTGAAAATTTGGTGTGCCCGAATATGCATAAAAATTAGATTTTTAATTAGATATTCAAAATCGATCCATACAAATATTTTTTTTTAAAAAATAAAAGAAAATACAAAGTAAATGTTCATGAAAGTATTTTATTACAAAATAAATTTTTTTAAAAAAATTTACTAGCTAATATAATAAATTTAATAAATAAAATACTGTAAAACATATATACAATATAATATTCAGATAACTTATATATATATATATATATATATATATATATATATATTTCTTTCAATATATGCATATAAAGTATCGGATCAGATATCATTTTCTAAAACTATTTGTATTTATAGTTATGGATATTTACAGATATTTTATCCCTAGGTAGGCATACTCAAAGAATCTAGTTACCACCTGTAGGGTTTTGCACCATTGGTTCAATGGTTCTTATAACAATTCTGTTGACAAATTTTCTTATACTCAAAGTGGAACCGTGTTGTTTGGGTTAGAGGAGATACATTAGGTTAAAGTTATTGGCGTGAGAGATTTGACTCCCAATTTTCAAATCAACAACCATTCAAAGTTTGCCATCGTTCATGTGTTTCAAAAAAAGTCATCCTTTTATCTTGGTAATTTGAATATGGAAGTCACGTAATTCATGTAGTTTACATCTCACTCAAACAAAATATTGAAGGTTAGTCATTACTTGATTTTTTACAATACTAATCTTCGTATTCTAACTATTTTGTCTAACCTAGACTCGTTCTCTCTTATTTTATTTTTGTACACTTTGTTATAATTTTTACTCTGAAATAGATAAATTTTTGGGTCAATTTGCTGAATATACATAATCATGACCAATATTAGGTAACTACCCTAATGGCATGTAAAACAATAATCACTGTAGCATAATGAGCATAAATTGACAATTTTGTCCCTGCCCCAACATTCATCCATTTTCTCTTTTCTCTATCGTGATTTTCCATGCTTGCCATATATTTCTTCTTTCTTTTACTAATAATCTTTCTTTCAATACACAGATTTATTCTCATTCTTAATTATGTAAAAATCTTCTCACCATATCCACAATCGATTTTCTCATCAATTCCTTAATCATTGTCTACTCTGTTTCCAACATAATTTTACACTAACATCCTCCTTTTTTGACTCGCACTCGTCACCATCACATCCGGAAAGTGTTCACAATTTATGAATCTTCCAACGATAAACTAGGGATTGCATTTGGTTGCAGGATTTTAGTAAATCGACAATTTAGAAAAGAGAAAAAAAAAACACAGTAGAAAACTTGAATGTATTTTAATGTAGTTAACAACGAACGACGCCAAGCTTAACATAAACTATTATAGAAATTGTTAGTGGATAACTTTTTTAATATAAACATACACTAATCATAATAATGAAAAATCAGTCTTATCATATATTTTTTGATGCTTATATGATACAATAGTTGTTAACCGTAAATATATAAGTTAAATAGATAATGATTTAGTTAGCCAAAAACTTATTTTGTAACATTTAATAAACCATGTATCAGTTAAAAATATATATTTTTAACATCATACCAAATATTTCAAAAGGGGATAACATGTTTTATAACAGCTAACTAAATATGTATCAGCCAATGCTTATATGATACAATAGTTGTTAACCGTAAATATATAATTTAAATAGATAATGATTTAGTTAACCAATAACTTATTTTGTAACATTTAATAAACCACATATCAGTTAAAAATATATCTTTTAACATCATACCAAATATTTTAAAAGGGGATAACATGTTTTATAACAGCTAAGTAAATATGTATCAGCTAATGATAATATTTGTAGAGATTTAAAAACCATATATCATATATGACATCTATTATTAAGCAAAAAGGTTTAACGATAATGATAAAATTTAGCAAGATAAATTTTTTTGTAGTATCTACTAAACCATGTATCAGCTTTCAATAGTTATTTTTAATATTTTATCAACTATTTTAGAAACGGCAACTTGTTTTGTAACATCTAATCATACATTTATCTGCTAATGACAATATATTGTATAGAAACGTACAAGCCATTTATCATATAACCACAACTAATTTGTAACAAAAATATTAACATAAAAAAAAGTTTATTTACAATTTTAACAGCTAACTAAACATATATATACTCACAAGACTTAATGCATCTAAACAAATATTTATCGGTTAATAAAAATATAGTTGTTATATAGCAATTACAGATATTTGTATTGAAATGTGAGATTAAGATCATTGTTAACGATCTTGGGAAGAACCTCCTCTTTCTTACTTGTAAGGTCCATCCATACGGCCATTTTCATGTACCATGATGTGAATCAAATATATATCTCTTTTATGTACCATGGATTTGCTTAAAAACTTCATATCATAATCGACATCAAAGCAAAAACGATGGAGAGGCTACCGTAGACGAACTCATCAAGAGGATAGTACTCGCTAGATTTAGACACTGTGTTGAAAGAATTACATCTGGAGGATATTGGATCTACTTGGTGGAAACCGAAAACAAATGAGGAAGAATATTGTAGAAATGAAAAAAAAAAGTATTTAAGAATTTTGAGAAGATACAAGAAAAAGAAGGAAGAAGAAAGAAAATTATGGTTCAGGAAGAGACATGAGAGAAAGAGAGAGAATCAAGATAGTTTGGGCAGAGGTTTAGGCAAAGGTTTGGGCAGGGACACTAGTGGAATATTGAAAAAAGCACAGTGTAAAAG